TTGGCCAAAGGCAGAAGAATACAGAAAAGACAAGGAAAAACCACTGCCATAAAGGTTTACCAGAACATCCTTAGTCACTCATCATGGCAAATACGCAAAAAAGTCAAATCGTTACTAATCATGAGACCAAGATCCGGCAGAGAAGAAAAGATCATGTAAAAGACGACGCCTTTTAGGTCGAAAGCATGCAAAATCCTCGTTTAGATAATAAAATTCCACTTCTAAGAATACACAAATGTAGACCAATAAGACTTGCAATATGGAATGTAAGAAGCTTGTACCAGTCAGGAAAATTAGACAATCTAATACAAGAAATGACCATAATGGAAATAAATATAATGGGCATAAGTGACGTACAATGACCAGACACCAGCAAACCTATAACCAAGAACTAAATGCTAGAAACAACGATCCTGCTCATCGTTATGAAGTCGCAATCTTGTTAGACATAGGGACTAATAAATCAGTTATAAGCTCCACTAATTACTCAGGAAGATTGATAATGGTTCAGTTGAAGACAAACATACGACAAGTTAACTTAATTCAAGTATACACACCAACAGCTGATAACTATGAAGACGAGATAGAACATTTTTACACGGAGTTAGACACAATTTCAGAAAGGAAAGAACTGTCAAGTTTAGCAAACAAGAAAAAATGAAAAACTTACGAGGCCCAAGGAACCTAATGCAAAAAAAGGTAAATGAAAGATAAACACACAGTGAACATCGCAGAGCTAAGAAATTTAAATTAAACTATGTCAAAAGCTGTTAGGAAAGACATAAGGAATTTTAACACTAAAGAAACAACTAATACCATAGAACAAAATAAAAGCCTTAAAGTTCTAAAACCACAGTTAAATACGGCAACCAGGAACATTTATAACCTAAACAATAGACAAGGACATGCTGTATATGAACAACAAGAAATTATGAAAATTATCGAAGAGTACTATAGGTACATTATATCGTCGAGAAGTTCACTCAGGCGAATGCGCCATAAAAGCCTTAAAAACCCTTTATAGTGTCTGCCGCTTTGAAGGAGTTACACCAGAAAAATGGAGAAGTGTCATTATGATATTATTGCACAAAAAAGAAGATGTAACAAAAATTAAAAACTACAGACTTATCAGCTTGTTATCTCATATATACAGAGTGGCCCAAAAGTCAGGAAACGGCTAATTATCTCGTAAATTACTAGACATAATTATACAAAATTTGAGATATGCCTATTTGGCGATACGCAGATTCCATATTTGGTATTTGCAATGTTGCCAGATTTTCAGTTTCTCTTATATTACTAGTAACTTTGGTTTTTCAAATACATCACCCTATATATTCAGTCATTATTGAAATCTCCTATTAAATACGAGTTTAAGCATATGTAACACTTATGATTTTATGTAGTCTGGAAGGTCTTAAATACATAAAACAGAAGTCTGGCAACGCCTAAACTGTTTCAATACATTTTTTAATACTATTTTCAAATACATTCAAACGTAAGAATTGATAGTTCAGAATATTTTTTAACATAATAGTAACGTTATTAAGTGTTCAAAATGTGCTCCATTTGTGAGTTGACAGCACTCTAATCGATGGTAGAATGCCTCTACAACATTTCTCCATAATTGTCTAGAAATTATTCGAGATTCATCGATAATTCATTACCTTAGCTACGCAAGACTTGCTGGTTAAGTTTTGTAAACTGAATTTTTCAAGTATCTCTAATAAAAATAATCTTTAGGATTAAGATCGGGTGAACGTGGAGGCCATTCAATTCTACCTTGTCTACCAATTTATCGTCCGGGAAATATCTCATCTAAATAACGCCGAACATTTACACCAACTATCTGACGTTAAATTTCTTTCGATAAAAAATGGCCCAATTAAATAAGTACCTATTATAACTGACCATACATTTAATTTTTGTGGTCTTTGAGTATGGTTTTCACGCATTCAGTGTGAATTTCACACGAATTCAGCTATTCAATACGAGTTCAACCATATGTTTACTTGATTTTATGTAGTCTGAAAGATCTTAAATACATAAAACGTACAAAATAAATATGTAGATTTTAATAAATTTAAATATTTAAATGGAGAATGCTGTGATTTTGACTTTTGTTCACCATTTAAATTATGAACTAAAATTGACAGTAGTTGTGGTTCAAAAAGTTCTCCAATTTAAATTGCTTCTCTAAAATGCCGTTCTCTAAACCGTTCTCTTATTCATAAGACGACGCGACGGTACAAAAAACTGTAAGGTGATTTGAGAAATCTGGAGAAGTAAAAAAAAAGATACCGATCAGGTTGACCGAAACAAGTTATCAATGACAACAAAACTTCAGATATAAGCAAAGTTTTATTGAAGATCCACATACATCCCCAGGCAGGGTTGAACAAGTACATGATGTAGGTCATTCTTTAGTCTTACTTTTATTACGTAAAAATAAGTTTAAATCATACAAAATTAACTTATTCCAAGAATTAAGTAAAGATGACTTTGGTCGTAGATTAGATTTCATTGAGGTAATGATGGATAAAATTGAAAATTATTAAAATTTCGTTAAGAGAATATGTTTTTCCGATGAAGGAACTTTTACACTGTGTGGAAGTGTAAATCGACACAATTTAAGGTACTGGTGTGACGTAAATTCACACTGAAGACTGAATGCGTGAAAACCATACTGAAAGACCACAAAAATTAAATGTATGGTCAGATATAGTAGTTACTTATTCAATTGGGTCATTTTTTGTCGAAAGAAATTTAACGTCAGATAGTTGGTGTAAATGTTCGGCGATATTTAGATGAGATATTTTCTGGACGATAAATTGGTAGACAAGGTAGAATTGAATAGCCTCCACATTCACCCGATTTCAATCCTAAAGATTATTTTTATTAGGGATACTTGAAAAATTCAGTTTACAAAACTTAACCAGCAAGTCTTGCAGAGCTAAGGCAACAAATTATCAATGAATCTCGAACAGTTTTTAGACAAACATGGAGAAATGTGGTAGACGCCTTCTACCATCGATTAGGGTGCTGTCAACTCACACACTGAGCACATTTTGAACACTTAATAAGGTAACTACTATGTTAAAAAATGTTCTAAACTATCAATTGTTACGTTTTAATGTATTCGAAAATAGTATTAAAAAATTTATTGAAACAATTTAGGCGTTGCCAGACTTCGGTTTTATGTATTTATGACCTTCAAGATTACATAAAATCATAAGTGTTACATATGGTTGAACTCGTATTGAATAGGAGATTCCAATAATGACTGAATATACAGGGTGATGTATTGAAAAACCAAAGTTACTAATAATATAAGAAAAACGGCAAATCTGGCAACATTGTAAATATCAAATATGGAATCTCCGTATCCCAAAATAGGTGTACCTCAAATTTTGTACAATTATGATTAGCATTTTACGAGATAATTAGCCGTTTCCAGACTTTTGGGCAACTCTGTATAAGCTCTTTATGAGAATAATAATTACTAACAGACTGGAACAAATGACCACCTACAAATAATATAATACTTTATAGAGAAAGTAACAGATTACAACAAGTCATTGATATTAATATTTGTAGATTTTGAGTGCAGTATTGATCATAGGTACACAACTCTTCTTCGGAATATACATAATAGCGCAACAGTCGCAGTTAGAATGTATTATGGCAATACAAATACATTTCCCTTTGATAGAGGTATTAGGCAAGGAGATACCATCTCTCCTAAGCTATATATGAGAAACTATAGTTGGGAGAATATTGGAGTAACATAAATGGAGACCTAGACACGATGCTTATCGTAATCGAGGACGTCCTCCAACAAGGTGGTCAGATGATATCAAACGCATTCAGCACAACTGGATTCAGAGTGCTCAAAATAGAATGCATTGGAATTATTTACGGGAGGCCTATGTCCAGCAGGGGACTCAAAACGGCTGATGATGATGATGAGTATTTGTTTATCTTACTGTTTAAGGATTATTTGACTAAGCCAAAGCCAAGAAACAAGGTACTTAAAATCTATATGATAATCCTAGGAAGATAATCAGCGACGTAGACCTGTTAAATATGTAAATGAGTAGAGAGATATTTTTTTAAATATGTTTTTGTAACATTGTATTCTTAGAGAAGTTAACCTATTTAAGAAAAATTAAATACATTTTCAATATTAAAAAAAATATTAACTTACTACAAAAAGTAGGACAAAACTTAGAGTTCTCATATCTGCAGAGGCTAGTGTCCACTAAAATATTAACTATATTAACTTTGGCATTGTATATATTATAAGTTCATAAATGGCGTAATTAGATTTATAATGAATGTATTGTTCTTTTAATTTACTGATAAAATGTAAAAATATAATATAAAAAAATAATTTTAATTGATGGTCATCAAATCATCAATAAAATCATATTTATTACAGTAGACTGCAGAGATACCTACGTTTATATGAATCGGTTCTATTTATAAAATTTTGGTTTATTATTATTTTTTTTTCTTTTTAATTATATTTTATACTAAAGTGTAACTTGGCACAGTAAATGACCATAAACGTATGAAAGTTCTTTCAACTTTAAAGCAACAAATATTTTGCTATAAGGTTGAATGCTCGAATAAATGAACTTTGATAAAATGAAAGTAGCATCTTTCGCTTCCTATAGCATCTTCAGGGGCATTTTGTCAATTTTGGGCTATTTAAAAATGGCAGAATGTTATAAACATAAAATTTTACATAACACAACACTAAACAAGGACAGACAGCTTAAAATTAGTTAAAAAATATGCGGAGCTACATTCTAATCGGCAACAGGAGAGATAATCTAATAATTCATTCAAAACAAGATGGAAAAAGATAATTTCAACAATAAAAACTAACGATTTCCGAAGTGGAAATTAAAACGTCAAAAACTAACGTTGTAAATAAACGGTGTTGCCTTCCCTTGCTTAATCCTTTCATAGGCAGTGGGAAGTATAATTCCTACCTTATACTATCATGTCTACAGGCAGTGTACATCGATTTTTCCACCATTTGAGTCTTCTGCCACTTAGTAGTGATATCAATAAACCTATAAAAAATTAATTTTAAGCTGAGGTACAGATATTAACATTACCATTCATACTTATGTTTGAGTATACGTTGTTTTGACGTTTTTTTTTGCGGTCACATTCTAGTTATGAATAAATAATTGTATATATATATATATACATATATATATATATATATATATATATATATATATATATATATATATATATATATATATATATATATATATATATATATATAACAAGCGAGTCCTCTACAGCTGGCGCCGCTTCTCACATCCTAATTTCCAGCGTTTTCTGTCGAAGCAATCTTCAGTTGTTAGATCTCTGGCGGTCATTGCATCGTCGACATCGTCTCTCCAGGATCGTCTTGATCTACCTCGTTTTCTTCTAGTTGGCGGAGTCCATTCTTCTATTTTTTTTGGCCATCTATTTTCCGGCATTCTCTGAAGGTGTCCATACCAGTTAAGTCTTTTGGCTTCGATTGTGTCTATTACGTCTAGATCGATTTCCATTTCTCTCCGAATATCTTCGTTTCTCACCCTATCAAGTCTAGTGAGCTGGCAACATCCTCTCCAGTAGTTCATTTCCATGGCCTTAATTTTTGATTTGTTTCTTTGGTTTATTTCCCAGAGTTCGTCGCCATACAGTCCAATACTTTCTATTATTGTTTTATAAATTCTTCTTTTATTTTCTTTTGTTATTTTTTTATTCCATAATAGTCCGTGTAGCTGTCTGGTGGCTGATCTTGCTTGGCCAATCCTGGAATGTATTTCTTCGCTACTTCCTGCTTTTGATGTTATTTGGACTCCCAAGTACTTAAAATTGTCTGTTGGTTTTATAGTTCCCATTTCGATTTGTAGGCTTTCTGGTTTTTTTTCTACAACTAAGTACTCAGTTTTTTGTATATTAATTGTGAGGCCCCATTTGGTGTACTCATCTTCCACTTTTCTAAGCATGTAGCTTATATCACTCTCGTCTCCAGCTAGAATGGCTTGGTCGTCAGCGAAATGTATCGTGTACAATCTATCATCTCCGATTGGGATGCCCATATTGCAGCACTTTCTTCTCCACAGTGAGAGTGCCTCATTTAGATATATTTTGAAGAGTGTAGGTGCTATGCAGCAGCCTTGCTTTAGGCCCTTACTAATAGGAATTTCTCTAGTTAATCTATTTCCAGTTTTAATGTTTGCCGTTATATTTTTGTAGAGCTGTTGTACTGGTTGTATATAATAAATAATTGTTTACCTGAAAATGAAGGTGCTAAGGATTTAATTATTATTATTATCCAGATTTAGCCATACAGCTCACACTCCCTCTAAGGGGAACATTTACTCATCCCAGATACCTATGGTATCAAAAGGATTGAGCTCTGGTGGGACTCTTTCCGTGTTATCGAGCCGTAGGTGACTTGGTATGTTGGAGTATCTCTCAAAAATTTTCGTACATATTTGGACGTCGCGAAGAGTACAGCTTTCTGCATGGCCTTATAAAGATGTTCATTTAGACTCAGCTGTTTTATGTTTGCTAGGAGGTTTTTGGGAATAACACCAGTAGTAGATAGAACAATAGGTAGTGTCTGGGTACTTTCCATTCTCCATTGTCTCCTGATTTGTATTTCTAGATATCTATACTTGGCGATCTTTTCGTTGTATTTAACACCTAAATTATTGGTGTTAGGTATCGCCACATCAATAAGTGTTGTTTGCCTGGTAATTTTATTCACTAGTATGAGATCCGGTCTATTATGGGCCACTGGTTGGTCTGTAAGCACAGTGCGGTCCCAGTATAGCTTGTAGTTGTCATTTTTAAGCATTCTATCAGGGGCGTATTGATAATAAGGAAGATGGTCGGTTTGGAGAAGTCCCAGTTTGTCAGCTAGTTCTTGGTTCTTCACTCTTCGAGACGAGAGAATAGCATTACGGCGTTTCTATCAGTTATTATGGTCTAAGAAAAGAACTGACAAGAGGTGATCCACTAGAATTACACTGTAGTATACAAGAGGTTTCAAGATACAAAGAAAACTCCAAATTTAAGATGGGTCTATATGACTATGTATGGGGGCTACACCATAATCGGTAGAATATGCTGAGAATGCTGATGATGATGATGATGATGATAGTGATTTATATATATATATATATATATATATATATATATATATATATATATATATATATATAAAGTAAAAACCATTTTTTTTTATTTAAAATTTATTACATATTACATGCACGAATCTTTCAATTATATATTTTCTTTATGATTCTGACTTTGACTTATTTCTTCCGTTGTGTTTTTTAGTTGTATGAGTTGAGTTGTTACTATTTTCATCTGTCTCATGTTGACTAAAATCAGTATCATTATCCAGGTTTTTGGCATATTTTTTCAACTTTTTGAGCAATCTTTTAAAACTATTATCTTCTACGCTGTCTACATAATAATCCGATTCGTCTTTCGATTTATCATCCGAAAGATCATCTAAAAATAGATTTTGAACAATGCTTCTATTTGGTTTTGCATATTCATTTGGTTTAATAAACGTATTACGTGGTTTATAAAGAACGAAAGAAGAAGCTTCAGTTGTCTTCAAAAATACCTAAAAAAACATTTAGATTTTAACATAAACATCAGTAAGTGTTATCTAAAAAAATTAATTCTTACAGTACCATTTGAATTAATGAATGCTCAAAAATAAGTTAAAAAATTGTTCATACTGTGAAATCTGCCATATATAAAAAATATAATTGTAGCAAAAAGAGATATCATACGATTTCTACCTGGCGAAATTGAATTCAAATATCAGCCACCGTGCTTCCTAAAACTTGCTAAGCAAACAGCTTTATGAATAAATCGTCAAGGGAATTTAAAATTGAATTCCAAATGCCGTTCATCATAGCCAATATTCGTAGTGAATTCGATTTCTGGTACTCCAAACGAAGTAAAGAAATAAAACATAATGACGGTATTAGATTTTGATTCGATACAGAGCAGCAACAAGCCGCATACACGTATTTCGACCTCTTTCGGTCTCCTCAGTACCGTATGGCCACTACTCCGTATCGAACCAAAATATTTTCCCGTCGTAGACCATAGTTATTAAAAATAACTGTGTACAGACGTAACTACGCCATCTAAGAACAAAAAGAGAAATCATACGATTTCTACCTGGCGAAATCGAATTCAAATATCAGCCACCGTGCTTCCTAAAACTTGCGAAAAATTATACGATTTCTACCTGGCGAAATCGGCTTGTCGCTGCTCTGTATCGAATCAAAATGTAATACCGTCATTGTGTTATAATTGTATCAGTTTAAAATATTTTTCCCAAGCTATTTTCTTGTGGCATCTTAAAGCATTTACTATTTTAATTGAAAATAAGCCACAATTTAAGTTTATTGACGCTTCAATTTTTACTTTGGAAATCATTTCCAAAACACAAAACATTAACTATTAATCCAAATTTCCCTTTCAGTATGACAATCTTTTAATTTAAATAAGGAGTATTCCATGGAAATTAAGATATACCCAACTAAAACAAAGTTAAAAATAAAATTGAAAATCCTAAAATTTCTTACTTGATGAAACTAAATTCAAATTATTACCACTGTGCTTTCTAAAACTGGCCAAGCAGAAATATTGATAAATTAGTCGACAAGCGAATCTAAAATTTGCATTCCACCTGTCGGTCATCACAACAAAAACCCTTAGTGTATTAGTTTTTAGTACTCAAAACAGAAAAACGGTTTTAGATTTAATTTTATTTGAAGGCATCTGCCATCTGCTTGTACGTATTTCAATCGTATTGCGTTTCATCACAGCGTCATATGTAGAGACTTTTCTGCAGAGTAATCAATTCAATATGAAAAAATATTAATATTAAAATACTTCCACTTTCTCTCAACATCTTACATAACATAACCACACCGTCAATATCCCAGAAAACGTTTTACTTATTCATAATATCCCTCAAAAAAACTTTCTCAAACTAGACTTATATGAAAACCTAGAAATTATTAAAAAAAAAACAGAGAAGTCTATATTGTGTTAATCGCCATGTCTCATTCAATCGAGACTTCCTTTCGCTCCATCGTCAACTATTCTTATAACCCATATTCTCACTTTACTTCTTCATTAGTATTTAGAATTTTTCGTTCTTCTGTTGTCACCTATTAATCCTCCTTAGTTCTCTTAAATTTTTTTCAGTATATCCAACTCCCCATCTTTCCCTACTTCTATCTAGGAATCTTAGCACCATTTGTAGGTCCCTTTTAGTCATATCTGGAAAGTTAATTTTTTCTTGAGATGTCAGCTTGGTCGTTGTAGTGGGACGTCTTCACCACCTAGCTGTCTCTGCTTTTAGTGCTAAAGTATTCTCACCTTAATTAGATTTTAACATTCTTTCTATTATTATATTCTGTAACCCATCATCATTTTGATCACTATTTAGACGCTAAAACCGGATTTTTTGATTCTGTGATAACAAAAATAATATATGATTACTTGCTCTAACATAGGCTAGGGTATCGCAATCCTTATACTTACTGCAATTGATATTAGTAAGTAAGCACAATTTAATTTTCACAAATTAACCTCTGACGATATCTCAAAATTCACATCTACTATGATGCACAATAGTAAATGCGACACTCTTCGTTTCCTTATTGAATCGATAGATCATTAGATCAATACAAAATATTGATACATATGGCACTTTGATAATTTGAGTTCGAGGATATCGTAACTGAAGGCGGACGCGTACACGCGCCTATGTGATATGTAATATACTCGATGCTTTCGATACTTTTCCATGTGATTGATAGTTTTCAAGATCCTCGATAATATTGGAACGGAATCTAGGAGAAGAAGATTATTTGATAATAAGTTAAATAATAAACGTTAGATAATAAACGCAAGCATACTCCCATTGTCGTTGTCATCGTTGCGGATGATGCGCGTAGCAGACATTGTTGTTTTCGCCACTGTTTTCGTCTAATAGCGGCTTCCCACGGTCAGCGATATTACGGACGTAAGCGGACCAGCACGCACCACGCACCGTGGGAAGGGTCTCGTCCGTGGTAGCGCAGGCACGTCTGTGCTGGTCCGTCCTATCCATCTAGAGTCGGTAACATCAAAGGTGCGGTACATGCTCGTGCGACGCGATCCTAGCGCGTCTGTGTTTTAACAGACGACAAGTGCAAGTCAGAAGTTTTTCATTCGCTGACACGAGTAGTTGTCTGTAGTGTTGTCAAAGTTGTTTTGCAGTTTTTTGCTAAAAAATGGAATGGACAAACGAAGTTATTTTTGATTTTTTAAATTTGTATCAAAATGAAACAAATTTATGGAATTCTACGGCACCAGAGCATAAGAAGCGGAACCGATATATACGATGTATGGAATCAAATAAAAAATCAATTGAAGAATAGTACTATTTCGATTAAAGAATTAAAAAAAAAGAGAAATTATTTAATGCCGAATTTAATGTTTACAAGCCTAAGTGACCTTTTTATGATATAATCAAACAATACTGTCACGGACCTACACAGACTGTCACGGACCGTAGAAAGAGCTCTGTCTGCGGTGCGTTCTCGTCCGTGCTGATCGGCTGTCCGCGATGATCTGTAGAATCGCCGACCGTGGGAAGCCACTGTTAGAGAGTACCGTAGAGTCCACAACGGATTTTAGGACAAAGGGATGACATATCCCATAGGCGTGCTCTATCATTATCTAGTAACTTTTTTATTTCGATAAACATTTGGCACTAGACTATAATATGTAGGCAATATGCATTATCAGCTAGGTTTGCGCACAAAAAGTGATATGCGATTAAAAGCGATAAAAACAATTGTTGCAGAACCGTCAATCATAAAGCTATAGTTTTTTTTGGAGTTTTGACTTTTGAACAAAAAAAGGCAAGTGATAATATAACAAAATTTAAGGGTGCGATCAAAAAGACGAAGAAATTCGATAATTTAGCTACTAGATTTTAAGGTTATGAACCAATAAAGTGGGAAAATATTACAAAACCTCGATTTTAGTCGCAAAAAAAACTCGAAATTCTGTAATTTGCACTTTAAAAATGATTATTTTAACAATGGTGATTTATAGCTGTAAAAAAATAGATGGAAAAGCTTCTAACTATCTGATTTTAAAGAAAGTGCGAAAATGAAAATAAAAAACATGGAATTTTCTAATTTTATCTTTATGAAAGAGTTAAATGGGGACTTTTACATTAGATTTTGATAATGTGGAAGAAAATATGTTGAATTATCAACTGGGTTTTCATGTGCAACTAAATAAGTTAAAAAACAGTTTTTTGATTTTTCGATGCTTTCGGCTCAGAAATTAAAAATTCTGCCTTGGCCATTTAAAAGAACAAAAAAAATTCATAAAAAATTACTATTTAGAAGTTAAATTACTATTTAAAAGCCAAAAATTATTAACGTAACTATTGAAGAAAATATATAAAAAAATAAATATTTGTTGTCACCTATTACCGTCAAAAAGGTTTAAAATGTTTATGAAAAATTAAATATATTTAATGATAAAGGAAAATTTTAAGCAACTTACCGCAATAAGCAAAATAAAATAAAAAGTCTTCATCTTTACTATTCAACGCCCAATAAAATATTAATTATTATTCCAACATCATCTCAATTATAATTGCCCAAATTGGCGTGATAAAAATTATAATGAATGCATTGTTCTTTTAAATTACTGATAATATTTTATCAATCATCAATATAAGATACCCTTAAACCATTGAAAATAACTTATTAAAGTAGTAAACCATGAAAATTAAATTTATCCAGTTGGTACTCTAAGCAGTTCTACAAATCACAGTCTATTGACATTTAATATATTTATGTAACCCTAAATAAACTTTATGTCTTAAGGCGACGTGTGTTATGAATTTCTTTGCTACTATAGTCGCGTTTTAATTAAGAAAGAGTGCGATTGTAGGCCATATTTAACAATAATCCATTGTTACCATTAAGTATTTATTTAATCGCTCTGTCAGCGAAATTTTACCGAGAATATCCAATGCAGTCGTTCAAAAAGCTCTCTGGACACTCTGGAAAAATATTGTGCCATATTATTACGACTGTTTATTCTAGGCTCCGTTCGGCTCGCGGAGATAAGAATACGGCGTATTCGTAAGAGGCGACTAATGGAAAGGTAATGAGAGGAAAGGTGGAGAGCCGTCGCTTGAGGTGTCGAATTTGTAGAATCGCACTCGGGATGCTTAGGCATCTCGGTCGCCTGTCTACACACCTAGTATCCGAGACGAGTCTCTCGTGGCAACATTCTACTCTTATTCCACAAGAGCCAGGTAAGGTTGAACGAGCTGAGCCCGTATATACCTCTCACGGTTTTACAGCACCGGAAGTGGTGTCGGTGTCTCGGCACGTACCCACATGGATGATTTAAGAGTGGTATAGGAGTGATCCTCAGCAGCGACCTGTCTACGTGCGAGGTGGAATTTCTCCGCTTGTGTTATTTTATCGGCTCCAGGGGAAGATTAATGGATGGGGGACGTAATCGCAACACCACAGATAATACGGGGAAGGTGGAGCCCCACGATGTTTCATTTGGTGTCGGACTCGTAGGGGTAGTGGAGTCGCTTACGATCGTGTGCCTACCAGGCCAGGAAAACCAGGGTCCCACCAAGTTTTATATTTGGAGGGTCACGAAATTAGTCAATGATTATTCTAGGGCCTTTTTTACTACTAAATAGATCGTATTTCTTCTTATAATCTTCTGCATCTCGGTGGAGATTGATAACGAATGAAAATAGTTTATGTCCCTAAGATTCTTCCAAACCAGAATTCGTATAGTTTGCCAAAAAACCAAAAATATTTATAGTAGAAAATATTGTACAGCTCGTTCCTATACAATCAAAAAACCTTATACGACTCTTAAAGCGTATTTTGTAGAGAATTGAGCAGTGTATTTTGAAGTATAAATACTTATTATTTACGTGCTGTCACTGTCACCAAATCTTAAAATTTGTCAGATAACTCATTCTGTTTAACCTCAAAAAATGGCTGCACATGCTAGCAAAGAACCAAAAGCAAGAATTGTAACAAAATTAGAAAATGGTTGGTCACTATGTGCCGTAGCGAATTATTTTAACGTAAGCAAAACAACAGTTTTTAATATTAATAAAAGATAAAGAGAACAAAAAACCCTAGAAAGAAAGCAAGGTTCTGCAAGAGCAAAATATTTGCCGCTCATGAAGACTTTACGCTTTTGAAGAGATTCATCATCATCAGTGGCATTACAGCTTGTCATGAGCCAAAGCCTTGTTCAGAACAATCTTCCATTTTCCCCTGTCTCTGGCAACTCTTCTCAATGCTTTAACTTCGATGGATTTTAGAGCATCCTCTAAGTTATCTTAATACCTAAGTTTTGGTCTTCCTCTCAATCGTCTTCCCACTGGTCGTCTTTGGTCGAAAATTGTTCTGATCGTTGCATCTTCATCTCGCCTATTCCTCTGTATTATTATATTATATTAAAACTTCTGTATAACTCAAAGTTGTAGCACCTACGCCACAAACTCTGTTCTTGGACTCCTCCATATATTTTCCTTAGAATTTGTCTCTCGAAGCGTTTAAGCAGTTCTTGGTCGTTCTCTGTAAGTGACCACGTTTCTGACCCGTATGTTAACACTGGCCTTATTAGTGTTTTATATATGGTAATTTTAATTTTTCTGAGTAGTTTTGGGACCATATGTTTCCTCAAGCCATAATAGCACTTATTGGCAAGCACTATACTTTTTTTAATTTTTTCACTGACATTGTTGTCTTTGGTCAGCAGCGAGCCCAGGTAGACGAAGGTGTGCACATCTTCCAGTTTCAGATTATCAATTAATAGTCTAGGTATCTAGTTGCCTGATCTAGTACAATACATATACTTGCTTTTCTATGCGTTTATTTTTATCCTATTCTCAATGCAGACGCCCTTAATGATCGAAATGCTTCGATCAGAGATTCTGTGGACGTCTCCCCCTGTTGTTTTCTGTACGTGTTTTACGAGGGGTTTGAACATTTACAAAAGTGTTAGAAGTTTGAAGATAATTCATGTCCAGATCGCTCTTTCACGTCAAAAACAAACAAATGATAATCTGATTCGATCTGACTGTTAGAAACTGTAGAAATTGTGCGCCAAAACAGGAGTTACTTTACAAATCAAATCAAAAATGAACACCAGATCAGATCCAGACCAAGACGGTCTACTATTGACCAATTATTCAACGTAAAACAAATCTTAGATAAAACCTGTGAGCACGATATAGATATCTATCAAATCTTTGTAGATTTTCGACATGCCTGTGACAACTAAACAGACATAAATTATACTTAATTGCAAGAATTTGGTATGCCAAGGAAATTACGAGTCCAAAACAACTAATAGATCAGTTCCTTATAACTAAGGGGGTAAAATGGAGGTGGGCTGTCCCCTCCCTGTTTCAGTCCATTTTTACAATGGAAGGGTCTTGAAAATTCATTTTGGATTCTGACTACAGTCTCTACGCATGTAAATGTAAGTTCCGTTAGTTGAACAAGATGAAGCGGCATTTGAAATTCCATCATAGCCTGTAGAAGTTTTTGTCTGTTGACTAAGTCGTATGCGGCTTTAAAATCCACTAACATATGGGGGGTGTTGACTACGAACTTAAGCGTTTTCTCAAGAATTTACTTGACTGTGAAGATTTGATCCGTTGTGAATTTATTGGGTCGGAAATCGCACTGGTAGTTCCCAACTATTTGTTCAGCATAGGAGATCAATCTTCTGTACAAAACATTGGATAATACTTTATATGTCACGTTAAGTAGGGTGATGTCTCTATAATTATCACATACCATCATATCTCCTGTTTTGTGAAGAGGGTGCATTGTCAAAGGAATACATTGTATTGATCTCGTGAGGATCATAAAAAATGGCAAAAATCGCGCTACGTTTATTTATTTAACACCTTTATAAAATATGAGTTTATTTGCGGCAAAATTCAAAAACTGTTTACTAGAGCTGAACTCTTTACTTTTAAAAGGCATCTTAACTTTTGTCAATATGTCACTTGAATTAAAAGATATCGATTTTTACCGTCAAGCTGATACAAATTTTATTGAACATGGATTTCGCGTGCATAACTGACATGCAAAATCGACGATCGCTGCAAGCGTTGCCTCTAAGAAAACGGTACATTCTACACAAAAAATGCTTACCAACATTTTTGTTTAAAATTATCTCAGCTACATTTTTTATTTGAAATATTATTTTCTACGGTGTATAGATTCTTGGTTAATCGATTTTTTTGCGTTTTTACCCCACTGCAAGGGGAGTTTTAGGGGGAATCAAAGGGGTAAAAATAATAAACTTAATTTTTATCTTTTTTGGCGTAACAATATAATATTCTCGGCAAAATTAAGGTTGTTTGCATGATTTTTAGAGGTTCAGTGGCATTTTCGTCTCTGACAAATGGAGTATTTATATTTTCAATTTTTTTTGTTTTGGAACGAAAAATATCTTAACCTAATGTTGAGCTTAAGTATAGGTTATACTTCGCATAAAAGTTTAAGTGATGTATTAAGTAAAAATACAAATCTTAAAAAAACGTTTTATTAAGAACACAATAAAAAAGTTATATACATAATATTGATTATAATGGGTGATAAAAATAATATAAAAATGACTTACAATCGATATTATAAACTTATTGTTGGCCGTGACAAATAAATTGTAAAAAAAACTATTAAAAAAGTATGGTCTGAATTAAATTAATTTGTACTCAATTTATATTGTAATAATCACATCAAAAATCAAAACATTACGAATTTAAAAATACTCTATGTTGGTTTTGATTACACATTACTGTTTAGTAGATTAAAAATTTTGGTTTCTTAGCTTTTATTCAGAGGTTTTAAATCTCTAGAATGTAAACATCAATCAGAAAAATTTCAAATTATGGCAGCCAAAGTAAACAAATTTTGCATTCAAGGACCCAGTATGATTGTCTGAAGCAAGAATGGTCAGCTATTTTTCTCTTTTTATAAGAAAAGCATCATGTTACAACTAAAGTCTCATAATAGAAGACTCCACCTTATACAAATATAAATACGCTTTAACAGTTTTAAAATCAACAATAGCAGCGGTAGCAGACAAACATTATTTATTTATTTATAAACGGCGTCCATTTGCTTACAATTTTTACAAAGTTACATCTTAAAAACAATATATTATTAAAATAACAATCACAAGTTTTAAAAAGTTACACCTTAACAACAATAAATTATTAAAATAACAAACACCTCAGAATAATACAAACATATAAGAATAATACAGATGTACAACCAACTTATTGTAAGATATTTTTTAGTTGTTTTTTAAACAAACTAATTTTGGAGTCAAAAATATCTATTTGTCTTGGCAAGCTATTAGCACTCCGTACAAATCGTGTAGTTGTTTCATTGGTACTATAATTAGTGTGGTGAAATGGCACAGAAAAGATTTCTGATTGTCTGTTGCTTCTACTAGGAATTTTAAGACTAACAAGCGATAAGAGTTGAGGACAATCTATAAAAGCATTGATAACTTTGTAT